TATTAGGGCGATTAATCGTGAGAGCTTATCACGATATAATCGTTCAAACTGCCGATTTTGACCGATACTTTTTCCGATTTTTAACAAAAATCGCGATTAATATATAATATCCTTATTGACATTAACCAATCAGAGTAGACTTCATGAAACTTTTTATAGGTTAATACTATCGTTTTATACGAGATACATCCAGCTACTTTATTAAGATAATTATTTTCAACAATACAACAAATGCATGGATGTCACATAAAAAATTCCAAAAAATAACACACAATAACTTAATACACAGTAAAAAAAATAACATATTTTTTACAAAACAAAGAGTGAAAAATCATAAATAATTTTTTTGTTCTTTATTGTCTTTAATAACCATTATTACAGTCTAATTTTCAGATAAAACAATGTTGACTGTATATTGTTCCATTGATATAATTCATACTAGATTTTCTGTTGTTCTGTGTAGTTGACTTCCGACATTACTGAAGTTGACATTGTTTGATTGGTGAAATCTATAGAAATGGTTAAAGTGGTGAAGTATATATAAGAAATGATGATACATTACTTGCGTTTGTAGATGTTTTTAACCTTTTTTGTTGATTGCGACGTTTACTTAAAATAGAATCGTGTATTGGAGGCCAAACAAAAGACATTTCATCAGTAGAATAATTGAATTTTCGTTTCACAGCGGCTAAAATAAGTGAAATAAGATGTTGTCTATTATGCTCCGTAATTGTACTTACTATAAATAGATTTTATACGTGGGTCTTCATCAGCTTTCTTCACATTGATATTCTGAAAATCTTGTTTGTCTGTAAACAAAATATCTATTAATTTCAAAGCGTATTTGGTTGTATTTTGTTTATTGCCTGGTACAGACAATAGTTCTACTACAGAACCATCACTTCTGACAAATGTCTAACAAGGAAAGAACAAATGAATAAGCAAATTACTTTTACCTCAAATGGAAAGATAAAAAAAAATTTATTATCAATACAACATACTAGATCCTGATTGCCAGATTGTTCACCATCAGTTTCAACACTTCTATTGTCATTCTCGAGAGTAATTGGTATCTAAATGAAAAACAGTACTTGAAATCTACTAAATATGCTTACATGTCCTCTTTTTACCCTATGTTTGGCCAAACTTTTAGCAAGTTTTTTTTGATTATTACATAATGTATTTAAAAATTTTTCTTGACGATCTAAATTTATTGTTGATTGTTGTTGATGTTTTTGTAATTTCAATACATTGGAATTGATTTGTTTTACGTAATCGAATATTTGTTGTAAATTTAAATGATCATCATGTAAATTATCATCATCATCATTAGTCAACAGATGTAAACGCTTAGGAGTCGATGTTTTCTTTTGTTTTACTAAACCTTTTTTCGACTTGGTACCTCCTGTTGCTGATGTTTTAAGATTCCATGATGA